ATCACATTTTCATCGCTTTTAATTCGAGTCTCAATAAAAATCATCAGCAATTCATTTTCACGGCGCTCCAAACCGGCGACCGAATTTCTGGGAGTTCTCCAGTTTTATTCCTCTTTAAGCGCCGCTGAGAGCAGAGCAGAGCCATGAAATTCCGTGTCATAAAATTAAATTTCTCTGCTATTAATTCCATTCTACAGGACTCTTCCTCAGGTCCTTGGCTATTGGACTTCTTCAAGGGAGAACTTTTGGTGGAATTTTATTCGCTGACCCGGAATGACCTTCGCTTCGATTTCTCCGCCTCTCTCTCCTGCCCTCATTTTGTTGTATTTTCTTTTAAATTATTTATCTTTTTTCGGCCATGTTTCTCCACATTCTCTTTATCCCTGTCTCTTCTTTTCTGTTGAACTTTTCTCTATTCTTCGTCGCACTTCCTGTCGCCTGTTAATTGTCTTTAAATTGCTGTTGAAAATGTAGGGAGGAGAGGGAGAAAACTTCGATTTCTGTTTATCTTTGGCCATTTCAAATGAATTTTTCTCGGAAATTTATTGCAGCGGAAATTAAAGGAAGTTTTCCACGGGAAAAAGGGGCTCAGAGAGGGTGTCTAGCTGGGGGAATTTCAGGATTAACGAGAGTCATCTCTTATATAGAAATAGTTCGCCATTCGAGGATTCATTGCTCATCTGCAATCATCGAAATGAACCACCCAGCAATTGCCAAATTATCCACCAGAGTTCCCATAAATATATAGGATCCATTTATGGTTCTTCCTCTCTCTTCTCTAGTTAGAGTCCCCGTCTCTGCGCATAAAACACTCTCCGAAAAACAACAAGGAGAGGTTCTATATATTTCTATTTCTTTGCTGCGTTTTCATGGCCGATTTTTATCATCACGAACATTGAAAATTTACGAGTTTTCACAGAGCATAAATTCTGGGTTTTTTCTCGCAGCTTTTATTATCTGCAAAATATTTTATACGCAGCAAGTGGCGCATCGTAGGGATACTAGAGAGTGGGGGGTATCTAATGGATACATGAACCCAAATTGAGTCACTTTGCATAGACCAAAGCAATCATCATCCCCGCGTCATCTCGATGGAAAGCTTCATTTGGAAAAAGCAAGGAAAATGTGCGAACAAATAATGATAAAAGGTAAAAAATGCACTCAGAAGGGAGGGGGGCAGGGGCAGGGGTAGAGGAAATGCTAAGTGTAACTTATTATGGGAGAGGTTTCTCCCCCCTCAGAGATGGAGGAGTGGCAAACTTTTCGCTCAACTTTCCCAGCTCTCAGCTGCATGTGTTGCATGCTTTGCGGCGGTCGAAAGAAAGCATGAAAAATGGCCCCAAGGGGAGGACGAACTGGGAGGAAGGCAGGAATATGATGGGAATCTTTAGAGCCAAGTAAACAGGCAAAACAAATTTTTAATGTCCTGCATAGAGGGAGGAGAACTCTCTCTGTCGTTTGATAGCGGTGCAAAATGTTGGCACTTTGTCTCCTGACAGCCCGGATCATCAATTCCCGCAACTGCTGCACTCGCTCATCTCTCTCTGAACGATCTCTGGGAGACTTCTCCCAAGTGAAGGTGGAGAAACACCCAAGAGACAGAGTAAGTTCAAGGAGCAGCAGTAAGAGTGGAAGGAGGAGGGGACAACCGTTAACAACTTTTTCTTTTGCCAATAAATTTTCAATTTCCGCCCTGAAATTTGCAATTTACTTCACTGCAGCAGAGCTAATTTCCCCCTGACCCGTCACCCACAGTCGCTTTTCTCCTTTGTAAGTCAATTTCTGAGAGTTTTCCGTGTCGGACTGTACGCCTTGCCATCAGATTTCCCACACGAGTAAAAAGGGGCTTACCGGGGGAAAAAAAATACACCTGCAAATTGCATTGTTTGCAGAGGGGATTGCAGAATGTGGAGATCCCAACAGGATGGAATATAAGGAGGGGGAGTCCCGTACAATCCTTTGCCAAGTAAACAACTGCAGGGGGGCCTTCGCTGTGGCACTCCAAATCCCCCTCATTCCTATCATAAATCACGCGGACAGAAATTTGATTTGATTTGCAGAATCTGCGAAAATATTTCGTAAATATTTACCATCGCACTTTTTCACGCTTTTCCAACAGTTTTCTGGCATCTCCCGCTTCAGAGAGGGAACTTTTCCAACTGTGAAAATATTTTTCACGTTTCTCGTTTGTTTTCTTTTTGCTACTTTGTTGTGCAAATATTTTCCCACTTCGTTTTGCCCCGTTTTTGCACTTCATTTGTGTTTGAAGGGGAAGAGGGGAGTGGCTGTTTGCTTTTCTTTGATATGCGAAATTTATGCACCGATTGCATTTGAGACGAGATTTCCCATCCCTGAAATTATGAAGAGGTCACTTCTCGAGTGCCATCTATAGAGGGGAGGCACGATAGCAGTGGGCGGAATGTCTTTTAGCTACTACAACTCTGAAGAGATCGTCCTTCTCCGCTACGAGCACAAGAACTCCCTCCAGGAGGCAGTTTCCATTTGATTTTAACGACTTCAGAGTTAAGTTTTCCCGCAGTCTCCGGGAATCCGTTTCCAAGCGAAACATTAAACTTTGGCCCTACAGAGGAGGAAGCAGCAACAGCAGGGAACAGGGCGTACAGCAGCTGGGATAATGGCAAAACAGAACTCGACAGCAATAGGAGAAAACATTTCCAATAACGCAGTGGAAAAGGTTAGGGACATTATACTGCTCCCCTCTGGTGGTGTTCTTTGGCTCAGGGACATTAAAAATAACATTCTGAGAATATAAGCCCCGAATCACTCAGAAAATGTTGATCCTAAGCCAAAAATGGGAAAGAATAAAGAAGGAATTATAAATCGTATTACATTGCTCCATAGCCACGCCTACTACCCCACCCACCTCTAACCCTTTGCTAACTCAATTTCTCTAATTAACTTAATTTTGGTTTGGCCCACCCCCACCCTCGAGGAGCACCCCTCTCCGGCTGAAGGCCTTTCTTATCTTAAGTCAAAGTTGGAGATTGGAATGGGAATCCCTGGGATCCTCCATTCATATTCCTTTCGGGTCGTGTCTGCCTGTAATTATGTGGGCGGCGTTGCCTAATTGCAGGCGACAGTCTTGGGGGCGGCTCACGTGGCGTATGCGCAACGCGGGACAACTTATTCCCGCATTTTATTTTCCCTTTGAGATGATGGTATTTTTTCGCGCCTTATTTAAAAGAAAATCACGCACTTGGGTGGAAGAGGGTTGCAGATGGACGGAAAAGGAGTCTATTGCCAGCATTGTCAACGGAGGAAGGGAACCCCAAGGTAGAGACGTGCCTAGATATGTGCGTTTGACGCTTCAATGCTGCGTTTAATCAGGGATTTATACGTAGATGAGAACGAGGATGGAGAGGGGCTAACAGATATCTGACAGATAACAGATATAAATGAGGTGGAGACAGGAGCAGAACCCTCAACCAACTCTGGCCACAAACATTTCCACGTCTCCTCTCAGCTGCAATCGTTTTGTGGTTTCTAAGAGGTGGAAGGAGGACTCCCACAGTTAGGTGATGGCGAGATACCAGCCACAATTGGAGACCATTTCGTGTTAAATAAAGCTGCAAATGCGAATGGTTGAAGCTATTTTCAGGCTCCTTCCCCACGCCAGCAATAGAAGTCCTTGCCAGAAGTCATTCCAATTATGCAGCGATGCAAATTGGATGAGCCGCAGGATGTCCTCCGCCCAAAAGGATCCTCGCAGGTGCGCCTGCCGTTTGCAGTTTGTTTGTTGTGGTCAGCAATTAAAAATTTAAACTGCAATTGTGTCGTGCCGAGACTCCGTATACTAATTCCAATTGCAAATGGTTCAAAGGATACCCCCTTGGGCACAGGATGCAGCTCACTTGTTATGAGTATGCGGTTGGATAATGGATTGAATGAACTGGCCAGAGGGCAAATATGGAGAGTACTTGAATCCTAATTGAATTCCTCTTGGACAACACTAAACAACGATTTAATGTGACTTAACTATTCCCCCTGACGATGGAGTGGACCCAGCTTAAAATGTTACCAAAGGTTCTGGTTCCAAGAGGAAGAGAAACCTCTTGCCTATCACTCGTCGAAATGCTGCCAAAAACAAACTTCGAAAGCAGGAAAAAGCACACAAAATTAAGAGTGAAGCGGGAAAGGAAAGGAAAACGGCGTTTACAGGTGACAGGTGCTAAAAGTTTTCCAGCAAACATAACTGCCACAAAAAGAGGGGGCAGGAGCAGGCTAAGAAGTGTTAACTTTGCAACAGTGTCAAAAACTGTTGTCGCATCGGCATCGGGGGAACAAGTTGAAGCCATTTGAAAGTTTGTTGCAGCCATCAGCGGCCAGAGGAGGTACCAGTCCAATCGAGTGACATCGATGGGATGTCTCGATGGGGGGTACTTTTTCTTTTTCTCGAGGGAAATGCAGAGCGCCAGCTTAGCCTGAGGTCATCGGATGCCCTCTCAAGCCCGGCCATCAATCGAGCCTAATTAAGCGAATATTTTCTAAGAGCTTCGAGGATTTAACTGAACTAACATTCTTCTGCTCTCATCTCTGTTCGCATCTCAGCTGCTCAGTGAGGCATCAAAATTGTCATCTGATATGTGAGATGTCAAAAGCGATATTAATTGAATGGCATTTAATTTGCACAACTTCAGAGACTTACACAGCAGTGCAGGCCATCAATTTTCCACTTGAGAGGGAAATCATCTTCTTTTGGTTTCTGCTTGTGTGCTCCAAGAAATCTCCCAATGTGGTGTAGTGGACATGGCGGGGAAAAAATCCCACTCCAGTTTTATGTTCTGTGTTTTCGAAATATATTCTGATGTGGAATATGAATCACTCTTTATTAAATTTATCCTCGAAACTAATAAAATGGGAAATTAATTTAGTGTAATAGTTTTCTTATCAATCTCTTTCATTTGCTATCCCATCATCAGCACTCGACATCGAACATTTCTCAGCACTGTCAGCACTTTATTTGGATTCGAACTTCAACAATGCCACAACAACCGCATCGCGGCTATCGCCAGCGAGTGGCTCACTTCACTCTGAAGTCGACTCTGTACGCGTCCTGGGCTCTGGGCCTGTTCCCGTTCACCTACGACTCCCGGACGAGGCAGTTAACACGGTCCCGATGGCTCCTATCCTATGGCCTAGTCCTGAACCTGGGCTTGATGGGGGTGGTGCTGCTACCGGGCACAGAAGACCACAGGGACGTCAGGATAGACATGTTCGAGCGGAATCCAATTATACAGCAGGTGGAGAATATGGTCGAAATTATCAGCTTCCTGACAGCCGTCGCTATGCATCTGGGAATATTTTGGAAGAGCAGGGAAATGGTCACCATCCTAAATGAGCTCTTTCTTCTGGAGAAACGACACTTCAGTAACCTAATCCTAGCGCACTGCCACCAGTTCGACAAGTATGTAATCCAGAAGTGCATACTGGTGGTATTAGAGGTCGGCTCCTCCTTGCTGATCTACTTTGGAGTTCCCGACAGCAATCTCGTGGTCACGAGAGCCTTTTGCATATACCTGGTGCAGGTGGGCGTGCTCCTCGGCGTGACCCACTTCCACCTGGCCGTGATCTACATCTACCGCTTTGTGTGGACCATCAACGGACAGCTCCTCGAGTTGGCCAATCAACAAAGGCGGGGCCAGAAGGTGGACCCGGCCCGGATCAAGCTGCTGTTCTGGCTGTATAGTCGCCTCCTGGAAGTAAACTCACGACTGGCTGCCATCTATGATATTCCGGTGACCCTCTTCATGGTCACCCTCATGTCTGCCAACATCATGATCGCCCATGTGCTCATCATTATATGGATCAATCAGTTCTCGCTCCTGGACATTCTTCTGTTATTCCCCCAAGCCCTACTCATCAACTTTTATGATCTTTGGCTAAGCATAGCCTTCTGCGAACTGGTAGAGCGCACCGGCAGACAGACTTCTGACATTCTGAAGCTATACAATGATGGGGAGGATATGGACGAAGAACTGCAACGAAGTGTAAGCTATGAGACCTATCTTTAATGTTGATACTTAAGGGTTTCCGTGTCCTTCATTCGTATTGCAGCTCTCGGACTTTGCTCTGTTCTGCAGCCATCGCAGACTGAGGTTTCGCCACTGTGGACTGTTCTACGTGAACTACGAGATGGGCTTTCGTATGATCATCACCAATATCTTATATCTTGTTTTCCTGGTGCAATTCGATTATATGAACTTGAAGTACAAATAAGAATATCCATCAATCGATATATCAATACAGTTTTTGCTCTTCTAATTAGCTTAAAAGCTTTTCAGCCAGATGGTTAAACTTTGATATAAATATTAATAGCATAGCCAACACACGGGGCAATGTCACCAGAAATTACATTTGGGGTAGGCAGTCAGAAATGTTGCGGCGACGTGAGGGTTTCGCCCCTAAACTGTGTCGGCTTGTCCTGCAGGTAACACTGTACGGCTCGTGGGCTTTCGGCCTCTTTCCATTCACCCTCGACCCGCAGACGAGGCAGCTGAGGCGGCACAGATGGCTTCTGGTCTATGGCGTGGCGATAAACCTCTTCCTGCTGTGCATTGTTGTGCTCCTTAGTGAGTACAGCGAAGAAACCGCGCAGAGTCTGGAGGTCTTCCAGCGAAATCACCTACTAGGGTTGATGAATGTTATCATAGGGGTCCTCGCCCTAATTGCCAGCTGCGGGATAATACTCATTTCCTTCTGGAAGAGCGGACAAGCTCTGTGTATTTTCAACGAACTGCTTGGCCTGGAGCATCGACACTTTGGCTGCCTAGATGTGGAGGATTCCTCGAAATTCAATTTGTATGTCATCCAGAAGGGTATGTCCGTTGTGGGGGAATTGATGGGCTTGGTGGTGGTGAACTATGGAATGCCTGAATACACTATGTCGTACCTATACCTGGCCCTCCTTTGTTTGACACAGTTCTGTGTTAATTTGGTGGTCACGCAAATCTACCTCGCCATCCTCTACATATATCGCTCTGTGTGGCTTATCAACCGACAGCTCCTTGGTGTAGTGAGTCGCCTAAGAGTCGACCCTTTGTCAGACTCTTCTCGGATTTGGTTACTCCTCTCTTTATACGGGCGCCTTTTGGCGCTTCATAAGCAAATGGAGACCACATTTAACGGCCAGATCACACTGATCCTGACATCAGCACTGGCTGGCAATATTGTGGTCATCTACTTCCTGATCGTGTACACCGTAAGCCTCGGCCAGCTTTCGATTTCCTTGGCGATCTTCCCATACTCCTTGATTATGAATGTGTGGGACTATTGGCTAAGCATTTCAGTCTGTGATCTCACCGAAAGAACGGGCAGGCACACTTCAACCATCTTGAAGCTCTTCAGCGACCTCGAGCATACCGATGAGGACCTGGAGAGAAGTGTAAGTAAGTCAAGTCCTACTCTAAATGATCTTATACCATTTTACCCAGCAGATTAATGAGTTTACGTGGCTCTGCAGTCATCGTAGATTTCAATTTGGTCTCTACGGACTGTGCTCAGTGAATTCTGAAACGGGTTTTCAGATGATCGTCACCAGCTTCATGTATCTGCTGTGTTTGGTGCAGTTTGATTTCATGAATTTGTAGGAGAGTCCACGGTCCATGAACAAATATGGACAGAGGCCTATCCCTGGATTTTATCACATTAAATATTGATACAGAAACAATCTTACAAATATAAAAAATTAATATTGATAGTGCTTCTTCCCCTACTTATTTGGGAAAGCATTCATGCATCAGTAGTTTATTTCAACAAGTCCATACGTGGCTACTCTTCATAGATTTTCAGCTTTTTTGTGGGCCCCCGGTAGGATGGCAGTCAACAGTTGCTTTACGATGTTCCGACCACATCGAGGCTGTCGTCATAAGTTGGTTTATATTATCCTCTATTCGATTCTGTACAGTTCCTGGGCTCTTGGAATATTTCCATTTACGTATGTCTCGAAGGAAAGAAAATTGCGGCGTTCCAAATGGCTCCTGGTCTATGGTATTGCCTTCAACGCAACTCTGGTTGTCCTGATGCTGCGGCCTCATGGGGGGGAAGGTGAATCCATGGCGAATGACCCCAAGCTGGACGTGTTCCAGCGGAACTTTGTGTTAAAGCAAATCAGCCTGCTCCTGGGGATTGGCGGCGTAATCACAATCTGCGCGATGTATCTGCGAACCTTCTGGAGGAGCAGAGACTTGTGCAGGATCTACAACCAGCTGCTGCATTTGGAGGTGACATACTTTAAAGATTATTCAGTGGAGTGCCCAACCTTCAATCGATATGTGATCCAAAAGGGATTGCTCGTCATCGGAGGCGTGGCATCCACATTGGTCATCCATATGGGAATGCCCAACGAGTCCGTTTCCCTGGTAAAGCTGGGCAGCTTCCTGCTGGCCATCCACTTCCACCTGGGTGTGGCATTTATCTACCGTTTTGTGTGGCTCATCAACCGTGAACTTCTGGACCTGGCCAATCGACTAAGGGTCAGGCTGGAAGGAAGCTCCTCTCGTGTCCGCCTCCTCCTCACACTCTACGGTCGCCTCCTGGACCTCAACACACGACTCACCGCCTGCTATGACTACCAGACTGCCATGATGATGGCCATCTTTTTGGGCGGCAACATCATCGTCTCCTTCTACATGATCGTCTTCAGCGTCAGCCTCAGCAAGATGTCCGTCTTTGTAATGTTGATCATGTTTCCCCTGGCGCTGATCAACAATTTCTTGGACTTTTGGTTGAGCATTGCAGTGTGTGATTTGGCAGAGCGGACTGGCAGGCAAACCTCCATGATCCTGAAGCTATTTAATGATATGGAGATATTGGACAAGGAGATGGAACGAAGTGTACGTTGGCAGGCAATATTTTGTGCTGATCCTTAAAGGTTTTCTTTGGTATTTCAGTTCGCTGAATTTGCTCTATTCTGCAGCCATCGCCGGCTAAGGTTCCATCACTGTGGACTGTTCTACGTGAACTATGAGATGGGTTTTCAAATGCTCGTCACGAGTGTCTTGTACTTGCTTTTCCTGGTGCAATTTGATTATATGAACTTGTAATTCCATCTAAGCAGGACACATCATTAAAAGTAACAGCCAGGCATTATGCCTCCCCAGTCAACGGGAAATAAACTCTAAGCCCTAAGCTGTAAGTTGGCTCAAAGTGAATGACTTGCAATCAGAGCCCAAGCTAGGATATGTAAAGAAATCGGAACATGGCCGCAGGACAGCAATAAAAGAAAAACTCCCTTTCAAAGAACACTTTGTAAGAAGCCAAAAAGAGGAACACAAGTCAAAAGAGTCTAAAGTCTAAAGAGAAGCATGGAAAAGCAGTGCAATTAAGGCCAACAAATGAACGAGTTTTCAGCTTTCAGTACTTTTTGGCTAGCTAAGGCAGTCCATGAAGGCAGTCCTCTGGCGATTCCCTTCCTGCTTTCCTTCTCTAGAGAACAATGCGGAGAAGAGCGTGCACAAAGCAGAAACTAACATGAGCAGCCCATGAGCAGTGCATTTTCTCCGCTCTCCACTTTCCTTTGTTGGCCAAGTTGTGTACTGGCTTTTCTTTGGATGTGTGTGCTCGGTGCTCTGCTAATTTCCATGACTGCGATTTTCCAGTTTCATACGCTTTGCCCTCTCCGCCCGGTCAGTGCTTGATTTATGCTTTTCTATCTGTTATTTTATTCTTGGTCTAAGTGGAAGATTCAATTTAACATTTGTCCAGACATTCGGCTACATTTAGGACAAGCGGCTACACGAAAATACTCGAACAACTGACAGCAACAATTAGGCCAACAATGGGAGACACAGTTCTGGACTGAAGCCACACAATGGCAGACACAAGCACACAGACACACACTCATACTCATACTCATACCCATGCCCTCTCCCAGATAGAGAGAGGATACATACGTTTGTATGTGGGTCCTTGGCAGGAGGCAGCCATTGCTGTCAGTGACAGGCCTCTGGTCCCCGTCGAGGGACCCAGCCCCATTATCTTCGATTATTGGGAGAGCACAAAGCCAGAGGCGATAAGAGAAGCAGCAGCAGCAGAAGAACTCCAAACAATCGCGTAAATTGATTTTTATTATCCTGTGTAGGGGATTCTCTTTTCCACCCATTCAAAAGGCTGCTCTCCTGCCAAGTTTCTGGCAAATTTCCTGCTCATCTGCACGGCGGGCAAACAAAATATAAGCCATAGTGTGCACAGGCATTTGATTTATTGCCTTCGTCCAGGACATCCGCCAATTGTTGGGCCACGTGGCCTTGCTCCTGCGCTCCTGCTCTCTTGCTCTCCCGCTCCTGCTCCTGTAATCCTGTCCCGCTACTTCTGTTTCCTCCGCTCCCTTGTGTTCACAATAAATTCCCCTCCATGGGTCAACATTCTGGCTGTTAGCAACTCGTCAAATGTTTCAGATAATTCGATTCGATTCGTTCCTTCGTTGATTTCTGCCAGCTTTCAATATATTTTTATTAAAATGACAGCATCTGGTTATGGCTCTCGTTCCGAAATGAGATGAGAGAACAATGCCGAGGACAGCAGTTTCCCCGGGGCCAAAAAATCATAAAAATATTTTCTTTTATGATGATTTGCCCTGTCATCAGAAATATGTACATAGGTCTGTTATGACACCTATGTACTCCACTCATAGTTATAATAGTCGTCGCATAGTGATAAGTTCTGTAATCGGCCTTGCAGGGGGTACTATCATTTTCAAAATCATAAAAGAAACATTTTCGTTGCTATAAGGATCTCTCTTTTTTTTTTAAAGGTCAAGGGAAGTTCTTTCAACAGAAAAATAAGTATGTCCAGTTGCAGTCCAGTTTTTTGAACTGCTGGAACCTTACAAACTGTATGACGGAACGACATAACATAATGGACCGTTGATTAAAACACTCTCCAGCCTGATGGTTTCGTTTAGAGCAGATAATAAATATGTGGTTCACTATCAAGGACTTACTGTCAGCCGTCCTTCGTTTTCTTCTTTCATTTCCTTTCGATTAAACTAAAGTTTTTCCAACAAAAATTTCTCATTAAATAAATATTTAAGCAGAATTTGAGACTTGCCACTAATTGCTTTGCTCCTCTTGACTTTTCCACTCCCCTTCTCCCAACTGTTTCTCTATTTCTCTACCGCTGGAGACACACAAATCGGCTTTTGCTCGTCGCTGGATTGTTGTTTAAACTGCCAGCAACTTGCAGCAAATTGCCAATTATTTAATTTCGCAAAACTTTTC